CCAACTCCACATAATTTTGCAACTCCACAACATCCCTTATGTCACTATTCAGTCCATGCAAGAAACGTGCCATAGTAGCCTCCCGTTCTTCACTAACATTTGCTCTAATCAAGGAAACCTCCATCTCTTTATAATACTCATCTACACTCTTGTTACCTTGTGTAAGCCGTTGAAGTTTATTGTGAAGGTCTCTATGATAATGGGAAGGAACAAATCTTCTTCTCATTAGCCTTTTCATCTCCATCCAACTATCCACCAATGGTTCTTCATATCTTACCCTCTCCTTTTGCAATTGGTCCCACCAAATAAGAGCATAATCACTAAACTCCATGGCTGCCACCTTCATTTTCTTTTCTTCAGTATAGTTGTGACATGAAAATAAATGCTCAATCTTCATTTCCCACTCCAAATAGGCCTCCGGATCACTTTTTCCTTTAAAAGATGGTATATTAAGCTTCACCCCCTTAATTATATCCTCTCTAGCAACATCCTCATTATCTCTTCTCCTTCTATCAACCCTTCTTCTACCTCCATCATCATCATGAGTCCCTTGATTTTCTAAGTGCTCAATTCTCTCATATAAGTCCTCTGTTTGCTCCCTCATCATCGTTTGCATTCGATCCATAATGGCATCGATTAGCAACCTGTTTTCTCTCTCACGAGGAGGGCTACCTTCACCACCTGCACCTGCCATAATTCAAGAAAAAGAACAAGAATAAAAGAAATTGGACCTCACCACTCGCTCACGTGTTTACACTCTTAAAATGTATCACTCGTGTTTGTTGCTCTCTATTAGGCTTTTGTGTAATGTGCTCTCTTGCCTTTTTCCTCTCAATAGCTCTCTTTAAGTTCTTAACAGAATCTCCAAGAACACTCAAGAGTACAATCCCAAACTCAAGAATTCGTAATGACAAATTGGAAATATGTCAAAGAAGGCAAAACAAAGAAAACCAAAACAAATTGAAGGAATTATTCAAGGAAGACACTTTGGACCTGATTTGAGAGTAGTAGTGTGTAACAAGTAGCTGTATAGCATATATATATTTTTTTTTTCAACTCTTTTTTTTTTTTTTTATAAAACCTGATGCTTCAATAAAATGGAATTTTTAATTTTGGAATGAAAAATTCAGATTGCAGTAATGCTAAACTGAATTTGATTGAATTCTCCACAAAACAAGCTATTATTTAACACACTAACAGCATACTACTCAAGGAACAAGGATTGAAAGGATTAAAAATCAAGAACAATGATGAACATAGGACGAACCCTAAGAACACAAGTGCAGAAATTATGAACACAACAAGAAATTGAAACAAACAGAATATCAAAGGAACAAATTAGGAACCAACAACAAAGGCTAAAACAGAATTGCACAATTCAAAATTGAAAACACAAATACTAGGGATTAGGGTTACCAAATGTGTGATCAGAATTGATGGAAACAATGGAGAAAAATCAAACCCAATTCCAATCCTAGAACTGAGCTCTGATACCACATGATATGATCCCCAATAGGAATGGAGGAATGGATCTACTAGGAATGGAAATTCTAACCCCAAATTCATCCACCAACACGACCTGTTAAGAACAGAGCGTATCTCACGCTACAGACCTCGGATTTGGGTGATTCCAAAACGAGGTGAAAGATGGCTTCTTGAATCACGATTTTGGCACAAGAATCACCGGAAAAGGATAAGGAATTCGAGAGATATGAATCCAAGATAATATAGAACGAAATTGGAGTTTAAGGATTATAGGTAGGCGCCACAATTCGAAAGAATTGATAAGCCCAAGAACGCCACAAGGATTGATGCCCTTGATAAGTTCAGAGATTCTCAAAAGAACCCAAGAGAACTAGTCTCACCAAAATAGGTTAACTTGATATTCCAAATCTGTCTTCAAAAGCCATGGTGTTCCCTTATATAGTGGGCAACAACCATATTGAGTTTAACCTAAAAGTACTTACACATAAAAGAAGATAGACAACCCAATAATCCAGCCCAATAAGCCTTATTACAAAAAGTTTAACTAAATATAAGAAAATAAAAAATTAAGTGAAGAATTTGGGCCAAGTAAAATAAAGCCTTCATGCATATCCATTGAGGCTTATTCTTCAAGGTCTTCAATTTTAATTAAGTGTATCATTTTGGGCTCTTCTTCCTTTAGACTTGGGCTTGTCTCAAGTAAAGTGGTCACCAAGAGATTTAGAGCCTCTTTAGCCTTTTTAGCTTTTGCTCTTGTCATTGGGCCTCCAAGACCTTGTATGTCCTCCAAGTTTATTGTCTTGGTCATGCCACCTCCTATGTCCTGAATCCCTAACAATCATACGACGAAAATGGACTCTTGAGGCAACCAAAATACTGAGAAATCTCTCTAACCCAAGGTGTCAAGTGTGACCTCCCCAATCTTCAGGTATCAAATTGAACATTGCAACTCTTGGCTTCCATTTTAGCTTTAGCGACTCCAGGTGCGAAAACTGTCGTTGAAGGCGGTCTAGCGTGGTGGTGTTACAAAGAGCAATCGTCACGTGCTTGCAAGTCAACGAGTCAAGCTCATACCATCGCCGGCACACTTGAGAAACCGTGTCACGGTCTTTTGGGTCGTCGATATAAGATATCACATAGTCAAGGACCATGTCAACCACGCAATGCCATATAAGAAGGGGTATTTTTGTCCGAAAAAATCTGGAAAATTTTCCTATAGGATGTGCGTGGTATTCTTGAATGGGATTTTTCTTCACAAAAATAAAATTATCTAAATCTGATTTTCTCAAAAAAAATTCATAATCCTTATACCAAACGTGGATAAATAAGATTTTCAGTATCAATTTCTCAAGAACCTAAAACTTACCCTTAACTATATGTTATTTAATCTTTTTGGATGGAATTGTTTAGCATATACAAAGAGCAATCATCATATGTTTCCGAGTCAAGGAGTCAAGCTCATACCACTGCCGGCACACCTAAGAAACCATGTCACGACCTTTTGGGTCGTCGATATAAGATATCACATAGTCAAGGAACATGTCAACCACGCAATGCCATACAAGAGGGTATTTTTGTTTCAAAAAAATCTGGAAAATTTTCCTACAGAATGTGGATGGTATTCTTGAATGAGATTTTGCTTCACAAAAATAAATTCTTGAAATCTGATTTTCTCATAAAATTTACATAATCCTTATATCAAACGTGAATAAATAAGATTTTCAATATCAATTTCTCGGGAATCTAATTAAAATTTACCCTAATACCAAACGTTATTTAATTTTTTTGGATGGAATTGTTTAGCATATATCATTACATGCAGCTAATTAATAATAAGTGTGGGGTTATCAAATGGTAATAGATCAGTTGATAACAAGAGAGTTGAGTAAGTGAAAAGAAAGGACTTTGGTTTGATTCGATCTCCATATGTCATTTTTGGAGGAGTTTAAATATCTTTATCTCTAATCTGCCTCACATTCTAAATTAATTTTATAGCCGATTTAAAAAATCAAAACTTGTTAGAATATCAGGAAAATTAATTTGTCTAAAAAAAAATAATTAAAATTGAGTAACTCTCACAAAAAATAAAAAAATAAATAAAAAAAGTGTGGGCAGACATTTGAAGTTGGAGTGCAGCCCCACCCTGAAAGTTCAACCAACCGAGAAAGAGAAACCCTTCAGCCACATGCCAACCATATGGACTCGACACGCTGTCTCGCACTTTCTAAACTTTTTCCATTTTAAAATAATCTCCCAAGTTTCCACCACTACTACAAACTGTTCCGATTTTGTTCAAGGTCAAATAAGTCAATTATGTGGAGAGAAAAAAAGAGAAATTTTTAAATGCTCATAAAAAACTTGTTTTGTATCATTCAGTATGTGACGTCTCTAACATTAAAATATTATTCAAATATGAGTCAATAATAACTCACATAATTAATATGATTCGCATTGAATGGCATAGACTAAAAACTTTGACTTATCATCGGAACACTTTAGGGACGTTTTATACGCGGTATTTCTCCGAATTTTTGAAAAATTGAATTTTTTAAATTTTAAATTTTCTGATATTATTATAAACTGAATGTAGGAATTATATTTTTGAAAATCAAAATTTTCGGATAAAAAAAATTTCTCCTCTACTAAACGCCTCCTTAAGAATCTTTGGTATAAAACATATAATAATACACTCCGCATTAATCAGTAAAAAGATCCCAAAAAAAAAAAAATTAGTGAAAAAATATTATAGTAGTTTCAGACAGTGTTTTAAAACCTCACCCCACCCCCCAGGTTGACCCGAGTCAACCCTGACCCCACCCCCTGAGGGTTGGGGTCACAAGTTGAACCCTATATGCGCATCGACCCCTCCGACCCCCAAAATTCGACCGGATTTCAATGACTCCCGGGTCGGAAGATGTTTTTTTTTATAAAGAAAATTCAATGAAACAAAGTTGTTTTATTAAAAAAAAATAAAACAAAAATGCTTGCAAACCTAAATTTAATCGTTCTCTTCTCTTCCAGCGACCTAGACTTGTGGTATCTTGATACTTTGGTATCATTAGAATATGAGTTTTGTACTTTGGTATCTTTATACTTTAATTAGGTTGTATAATATGGATTTGTGATTGTAATTAGTGAATTATGTTAAGTATATTTTGAATCTTTGATGATTGGTGATTTATTTTTTAATATTTTCATATAAAATATATATATTTATATTTTTTTTAATATATAAAACCAGGTCAGTATAGTGACCTGTGACCCTCCAATTGAACCCGTGACTCCATGACCCCTGACCTCGGCCGGTCAATGGCCGGGCTGGGTTTTTAAACACTGGTTTCAGATGGATGATAGTAAATATCTAATTTTATATTTACTATAAATATCTCTCGTAATATTATATTATATTTTTTAAACATTTATTCCTCTTTGTCCCGTACGAACGTTTTAGAATCCAGTATCCACTGCTACTTCCGATGCAGTGTTTTACAGCTTTGAAATGAGTTCATTATTTTACCATTTTGCCCCTCCTCCCTCATAAACATTTCATTTGGCAGTAGTTGAAAGAGTGAAATGTTGTGCGCGGAAGCTACACAATCTTCCATGTTGCAATTAACATCCTTATTCTCCTTATTAAATTTAATTTCAAAGTCGTGAGTATTCAACTTCATTCTAATTCATTTTCCCGGAAAAGTTTCTGTTTGGTTGGCGAGAAAATTTCAGCTTCAGCTCAAAAACCAATAAGGGTTTTTGGGGTGAGTGGGTCCAGCTTGATCGCGACACACTTCAGGGAATTTATAAGCACGAGATCCCGGAATTCGATACAGGTAAGGTAGGTCCATTACCTACAATTTCTGTTTCTCGCTGCTCCAATTCATGCTTCCATTTCTCTCTTTTCTCCTCGTTAGGGTTTTCACTGTTAGTTAAATCAAACATTTGGCTCTTGCAGGAGTAGGGATTTCGTGTATGGGTCCTACTCTGAAGTTCTGTGTGTTGCTGATTCTTGTTGGATTAGGTATCAGTGATGCTGGTAATTGATTTTGGTATTTGTGGATTAACTGGCATTTAGGGATTTTGATATTCTCTTTTGTTATTTTTGGTAGTAGTGAATGCCTCTTTCGCAAGAAATGATTTTGGACGTTGCGAAAGAGTTGTTAGGAGTTGGGCGTCCTCTTCGCTTGATAAAGAGATCAAACAAAAAGATAAACACACTCTAAGGAATTTGCTGTTTTTCCTCCATGTCCCCAGAACAGGAGGGCGCACATATTTTCACTGGTAATCCCATATAAGTGCAGTTTTAAGGCATCTGAATAAGTTTAAGCCCCTCCTCTTAACAAAATTTATTGAGCTGTGCTTCTGTTGGTATGTTGTTTCTGCAGTTTTCTGAAGAAATTGTATCCCAGCTATCTGGAATGCCCTCGTTCTTATGATAGGTTGCGCTTTGATCCGAGGTGCTGCCTGAATTCTTTGTATAATGTGGCTTTTTTTTACTGCAATTTTTTAAATACTAAAATGGTTGTTTTGGTTATTCAAAGTGTAAAGTTGATAGCACTTCTAGTAAGTAGCCCCATCTGACACAGTTGTGAGCTTGTGGCTTTTGATTCTGGTGCTTTTTGACGATAAAAGTCACAAGCTTTTGAGGAGTGCCCTAGATAACACTTTTTGGAACAGTGACCAAAGTGCCACTGTTCACTAACTTTTTTACTTAAATGCCACGCAAACAGTCTTATTTCCCAATCTGCCACGGGGGCAAGTTCGTTACCCGGTGTAGCGAACTCGGTTTGCTGACGTGTCACATTTCTAGTGGATAACAAGTACCAAATTAAAAAAAAAAAAAAGGGTTTGAAGGTCGCTACATAGGGTAGCGAACTTGGTTAAAACCAAGTTCGCTACCCCGTGTAGCGAACTTGGTGTCCACTAGAAACGTGACACGTCAGCAAACCGAGTTCGCTACACCGGGTAGCGAACTCGCCCCGTGGCAGATTGAGAAATAAGACTGTTTGCGTGGCATTTAGGTAAAAAAGTTGATGAACAGTGGCATTTTGGTCAATGTTCCACACTTTTTTAAGCTGCTGTGACGGCTAAACAAAATCTATTAACTAGAAAGACCTTTAACATTTATGAAGTTCTGTGACTTTTTCTCTCTCCTCCGCGTTTTGAACCTTGTAGCTTATCGTTATAGTCTCTGTAAATCTTGATGCTTTCAGCAGCTTTACTATTATTCTTTCCACACGCTGATTTATATACAATTCACAGCAGCCCTTATAATATTTTCACTCAATGAAATCATGACTGATCTTCACAGCTATTTTTTCTTCGCATCTATTATTTTCATGAATTTGCAGCAAACCAAGATGTAGGCTGTTAGTTACACATGATGACTATAGCATGACATCCAAACTTCCAAGGGAGAGAACTTCTGTGGTTACCATACTTAGGGATCCAGTTGACCGTGTCTTTAGTACTTACGAATTTTCAATAGAGGTTGCAGCTAGATTTTTGGTTCATCCAAACTTGACATCTGCAACACAGATGGCTTTACGCCTGCGCTCTAAGACAAAAGGAGTAAGCACTCTGGATATATGGCCATGGAAGTATCTGGTTCCATGGATGAGGGAAGACCTATTTGCTAGGGTATATTTTGTTTTATTTATTGTTTGATATTTGCTTATTTGTGAATTCCATTTCCATGCTTCTAATTTCATGTAAGGTTGTGAAAGTGTCACATTGCCTATACACTTTATTTGCCAAAAAGAAAGTGAATTCTTTAATTCATGATGCCTTTCTTTTTGCTAATGTGTTAACATGTTACCAAATACTGGATTATACTAATTGGCAATTACTTTTTAAATATGTTCTTTCATATTTCCGTGTGATGTTCCTATTATTGATGTAGTGCTTATTGGACAGAGAGATGCTAGGTATAGTAGGGGACTGCATATCATTGAGAGCAGTGATTCTTATGACATGGAAGATTTTGCTATGCCATTACAAGAATACATCAATCATCCTGTGGCTGGTGATATTCTACATAATGGAGCCACATTCCAGGTACTTCAGCATGTGTTTCTTTAGCAGTGTTGAGGTTCTTATGCTACATCAATTTCTGTAAATGCTACGAATGATTTACTGTTTTCTAAAATCATGATTCAACTAGAATATGCTGCCTGAGATGTGTTTCTGTTCTGATGCCATTAATCATTGCCACAAAAAATATGGAGGCAGATATTTTTCTTGAACTGCAAGACCCTCTTTAATTACCTTTTTTTTTTTTTTGTTGGATGACCCACTTTTTAACTTATGCCTGAACACCAAATAAAGTAGCTTTTATTTGAGTAGTACTTGGCTAGCAGGGTAGGCATGTGGAATGCTTAATTTTAGTTGTATATCTTGCAATTTTAAACCCCCAAATGCAATAATAAGGTTCAAGTCTTGTATTTACGGAGTTTCTTAATGATGCCTGTTATTATGTAACAAAGTTTTGTGAACTGTTCAATTATCAGCTCGCAGGTTTGACAAACAATTCTTATATAGCAGAAGCACATGAAGTGCGCCATTGTGTACAGAAATACAAGAATCTTGGTAAATATGTGCTACAAGTTGCGAAGGTAATAATTAAGCTTTTGAAGTTGTGATTATTGCATCATACAGTTGTTTGCTTCCCCCTACTGTTCCTTTTCTCAATATGGTTTTGTGCTTGGGCACCTTGTAGAAGAGACTGGATAATATGTTATACGTTGGTCTTACTGAGGAGCACAGAGAATCTGCAACCATGTTTGCAAATGTGGTTGGTGCTCAGGTGATATCACAGCTTAATGCACCAAACACTAGCCTGGATATTGCTGATAACACAGGTTAGTGTGTTTTAAACACTTTTTTGTTTACGTCAAACTTTTTCTGAAGTTACAAGGGTAGAGAAGTCATTTGAAATGGTACAGAATTTGGAGCATGATGCTAGAGCTCATATTCTTCCATGCACCTAGACATGTAATATTTTCAGATGATATGGGTGGGTATGTCAAATATCAAGTTTTGCACTGATCTTTGGCTAGTATTTTGGTGTTGACATTTATGGTCTTGGACATAGATTGTGTTGTATTCTCATTGACATATGGCATTGATCATGTACTTGTACTACAGAACAGAGTTCATTTTCGGATTCTGATCCTGATAGCAGTGAACATCAGGTAAGAAGCATCTCTTTGGTGGAGAAACTTGGTTATGTAAGTTTGAATATGAGAAGCATTCTTACTACATTCTCACTGTATGACAGAACAGCACCTCTGACAGGGTAGCTAGTGAGGTTACTTCAAGTGAAAGTGCAGAAGCAACAGAATCAAATGTAAGCTTGATTTCTTAGCAAGTATGGTGGTTTTATGGACTTATTAGATATTATCTGTTTCTCATTTATAATAGCATGCTGATCTTTCATTGATTTCAGATGACTGTTGGCAAACTCATGGATGCTTATGAAGTCTGTATTTCTAATTTACGGAAGACCCAGTCACGCCGACGCATCTCTTCTTTGAAGAGGATTTCTCCGGTGAACTTTTCAAAGGAGGTAAGCATAAGAGATCTAATGCTAACATAATATCATTGTATGATTCTTTTACCATCATTATGTGTGCATGGATATCTATTCCTCCTTGACCCGATCTTCATGCTTAGACATCTACCAGTGTCCAGTATATGTAATTATCGTGTCAGCAGGTGGTGCCTTTAGTTCTAGCTATTTAGACTTTGGTTTCAAATTTAGGGTGTATTTGGGATGCTTGTGTTGTGCACAATTTCATTATGCAAACTTTTATATCACAAATAATTTCACAGGCTTTCAAAACAGCATGGACACTTCAGCATTTACATGTGCTTGCATTTTAGCTGGAAATCTCATGATTATGTGATAGTGTTTCTTGACAAGAGTAAACCGTATCCCTGCTAAAGAATCCTGGGGTCCATATTCGGGTTATATTTCAGAAGCTCATTACAAGATAATTAAATTTATCATACAAAATGCATATATATTCTATCCTTTTGGATTGGTATCTGTGGTGCAAAATATCATTGCATTTATACATATTAGAATATATGATGATGGGCCTATAATAAATAATCCAAGCCCATTAGTATCTTAGAATTAGTATATATAGAAGTTTAGGGTGATGTTTCTGTTATGCATGTATTCAGAATTGGTTAGTGGGGAAATTTGGGAATCTCTGGGAGTTGAGGTCTCTAGGGGTTTACTTTCTGCATTTTATCTTTGTAAGGAGCTTGGCTCCATATCTGTTTTCATCATTTTCAGTATTATAAAAGTAGGTTCCATCATATGACATGGAAATAGAACATGTTGATTCATTGACAAATTGTTTCAAGTTTCAAGTTTCAACTTTTGTCACTCTTCCTTAGATTTATCAGTTACCAAGGCCTTGTGTGTGTGATGTTAGATTAATGTTGCTATTTGACTTAGGTATTGGAGAATTCTACAACCCGTTGTTAGCTTGTACTGTTGTGTTATCCCTTTCTAATGATTTTTGTGATTTTACAGGCACGTCTCCAGGTTCCTGAAGATGTTCTACAGGAGATACGATTGCTTAATGACCTTGACTTAGAGCTTTACGAATATGCAAGGGCTATTTTCTATAAACAACATAAAACTCCATTGCTGATTACTGAGGTATGACTGTTGAAGGTTTGATATGTTCTCTCTCTTTAGATGTTTGGTTCGATATACAATACTTTTTATCCTACACTAAATTTACTCAATCTAGATATTCTTACCCTGCACTAATGCGAAGACCCCTAAATGCTCCAGTAAGAACAAAAGTGTGTTACCAAAAACTCGACATAAAGAGAGGAAGAGGTCGGCCAAAACTTACCTGGGAAAATGTAGTACAGCAAGACTTGGAGTGGGATATAGATTGGGGGACGGTGTGTCTTAGAATCGATTGGAGGAAAGCTATTTGCATTGTGGAGGGTTAGACCCGTTTTTGCTTTCCATGTTCCAAATGGTCCTTTTTTAGTGCTTTTCCCCTATATCTCCCTCTATTTCTTTCTTTACCTCTACTTTTTTTGTTTCTCCTTTCTTTTATCTCACTTTCTTCCCTCTTTCTTTCTCTTCTCTTATTAATTTATTAATTTTGTTTTTTTCCTTTATTTTGATCTCTCTATTTCTAATTTTTTTCCCTCATGCTATTTTCTTTCTTATGTATCTTTATTTTCACTTTATTTTATTTTATCCTTCTTCTGAGTTGTTTATTGCTATGTTTTCATTTCTAATGGTATTTGTAGTTCTTTTAATTTTATTTTTTCCCTCAATTTTTTCGTATCTTTTATTGGGTTCATCTGCCACCGACCTCAACTAGTTTAGGATAAAAGTGATGTTGATGTTAGATAATCTTATCCGTGGGAAGGTTTCTATATTTCAGAAGTTTAGGAGTCATTAATTTTGGACAGCTTAAAAGTTAAAACAGAAATTCATGGTCTCTGCAGTTAATATGAGACTTGTTATCTGTCGTTTCTTATCTATTTTATGCATATTATTTATGTAAATTTTATCTTAATACAAGTTTACAGGAAATTGGTGTGAGTGGTCCAAAGTTCTACCGTAGGGGATTCAAAATTGAGACAATTTTATGGTTCATCATCAGTATTGGATTTGAATAAAAACCGTGTCTATGAATCCAACTTTGAAAATGATATCTTTCATTATGAAGTTTTTGTGGAAAGTATTTATATGTATTTGTTGTCCATGAGATCAAGTTTATATATATGCATAATATGCATAAAATGGATAAAAAAATGAGAGATATAATGGCTGTAAAGTTGGCTTCACGACTGCGAATGGTAATTTTTAGATACTTGCATGTCGAATAGGGGCAGATGCCGGAAGACATCTGGTGACTTGCATTGAAATACTCTGTCTTGAATTTTGATTGTTTTTACACTGTTAAATTGCAGGAGAGATGGGACAACGTATCAAGCAGTGCATATGGCAGCACCCTTTGGAAGTTCCTTCCGTTAGCAATTACTTTTGTCTTCTTCCTTTTCTTATTCCTAATTGTAAATGTAAGAAGAAGAACGTCGAAGGTTAAGAAGTGAAAGTAATTAAATTATAATTTGATGGATCACAGGCTATAAAAGATTCAAGAGAACGGATATATTAGACAGAAATCACATTTAGCCTTGGTTTGAGTGATCGATATTCTCATCCCCGATCATATATCTCAAACTGGATTATGCTGTAAGTTTTGGCCGTTAATATGAAGCTTGTTCTTGGGTACTTTTAGGCGTTTCTTTTTAATTTTTTTATTTCATTTTTGTGAAAATTCTTCCTTTTTCATTTAGCGACAGTCAGCTGGCTTTGGGATTGACAATAAGCAATTATGAACTTGGTTATTGTGCAGTTAATTACTTAAAATGCATTTTAAGGTATTTTTTTGCCAATCAACCTTTACACATACAAATAATATGATTATAATGGTGTCCACAAAAAAAAAAAAAAAAAATGATTATAATGGAGGTTTAGAGCAAAAGATTGAGTACTTCTACTTTCATGTTCCCCCTTTTTTTTTTCTGAAACATACTTTCATGTTCCCTACCACTTAACTAATGTGCTATTAAAATGAAGATTGAATTATTGTTGGTTTTACTAACAATTTCCTGTGATTTGTAACTCATTTTTCTTGGTATCCCTCCTCCTAGAATGTAAGTGAAATAAGTTTTTGATTAGCAATATAGCAGCAAATAGCTAAAAGAAAAAAGAAAAAATTGGGGTTTTATCGTTTATGCTTTATATTCATAAGTTTTTCTGATGTGCTAGGACAGATTGATGGGTGTAATGTAATGTACTGGTGAGCTTGCTTGAACACAGGTTATTTCCTGTTTTCCAAAATTTGCAAATAAATAAATATTGATTATTTGTTTGTTTTTAAATCAAATCTCAATTCTTATATTCTCCCTTATAAAGCACTAGGAAATAGGAATCACAAGCATAAGATCAATTAAGATTTGACAAAATATGAAGAAAAAAAAGTATTTTAAAATCAAAAGAAGTATCATTTTTATTGTAATTATTGCATTTGACCCAAGTTGAATAAATAAATTAATTCAATAAACGAGGTATTGCAAAGTGGTAGGCATCATAAAAATGTAAGTAGAACAATCCATCCATAGAAAATATGGGGAAAATGTTTTTTCTTTTAAAGGATGTAATTTTGTGTCATTTTAGATCTTAACCGTTGATTTTCATCAATTAACGGTTAGGATTTAATAGATCATACTTATTAATTAATTAATAATTTGTAATAAAATCCTAACCGTTGATTGACGAAAATTAACGGTTAGGATATAAAATGACACAAAATCATATTCTTTAGAAGGATAAATATTTTTTTCCAAAAAACATTACCTCTGTTCGAATTTGTTTATATGTACACGCTTTAGTAGATAACAGATCAGGATGGAATATGCAATAAGGTGAATAGCCTATAATTATAATAATAGGAAAGACTTTAATGTTTCTAGAGTGAATGTAGATAAGTTATCTATATTCGCTCCCAAAATGACGTCGTTTTGAGTTGAAAAATTAACAATATTATAATGAAAAAGACTATTATAACTCTAAAATAAATTATAATTATAAGAATACTTTGATTTCTGTCTCAAAACGACGTTGTTTTGAGTTTAATGTAGATAAGTTATCTACATTGAATGTAGAAAAAGCAAACCCAATAAGAAATCAAAGGAAATAATTTGTTGCTATAAATGTGGGATCATGGGAGTTTTCTAAAAATTTCTAGTAGATATTATGGAATAACAGTAAATAGTCATCCTAGAGAATACGAATAGCGTAACACCATACTGGAACATTTGGAGAACCCAATATGCCGATTAGTACATACGCATATTTAAAATATTATTACAAACCATTAAGAATATTGAAAAAAATATCCATATGTTAGGCGTGAGTAAAAAATAAATTTAGGCAGTGTCCCTAAATATTATAAAAAAAATGATTGATTTAGTTAATAAAATTAATAATGTCGAAGTAGTTAGGGGTGTGCAAAAAAACTGGTTTACTTGCCTTGCCCTTGACCTGACCCATAAATACCTATATTTTTTGAACTGGTTTAAATACTGACCCACTTTTATTTGGGTCAGTTTTAGACTTGACTTGTTTTAATATTGACCCAAAACTTGACCCATACCCATTATGTGAAAAAAAAGAGAAAATCACAATTATATTAAAAGATTTTTTTTTTTTTGGTATGCACATTAAAAGAAAAGTTTTAATGTAAAATAATTACGTCAAATTTTTTTAAGAAAAATATTTCCATAAAAAATTTTCATAAAAAATATACCCATCAAATTTTTGTGACTAAAAACATTTATGCAAAAAAATTTGACGGAATATTTTTTTTGTCAAATTTTTGTACGGAATCTAAATTTCGACAAAATATTTCACAAAAAAATATATTCATAAATTTTTTTGACGAAACACATTTCTATAGAAATTTTTTGACGGAAAAAAATTTCATTAAAATTCTTTACAGATTTCGAATTTTGAAGAAAATTTTCGACGAAAACATTTTCATGAAACTTTTTGATAAAAAAAAATTCGACACGAAACACATTTCTATCGAAAATTTTCGACTAAATATTTTGTCAAGTTTTTTCATAAAAATTATTTCCATCAAAATTTTCAACGGAACGCATTTCTGGAAAATAATTTCGTAAAAATTTTTGACAAAAAATATTTCAATAAAAATTTAGACGGAAAAAATATTCTGTCAAAATTCTTCAGAGAATCTAAATTTCGTCGAAAGTTTCGAATGAAACATTTCCCTCAAAACAATTTCCAACGAAAATTTGGACGAAACACATTTCCATCAAAAAAATTTGACGGAAAAAAATTTCATCAAAATTCTTTACAGATTTCAAATTTCGGCGAAAGTTTTCGACGAAAAAATTTTCGTTAAACTTTTTGACAAAAAACAAATTTTCGTCAAAATTTTTAGCGAAACACATTTTCATCAAAAAATTTCAACTATATATTTTCTTCAAGTTTTATGATAAAAATTATTTCCAGTTTTCCATCAAAAATGTCTACGGAACACATTTCTGTAAAAAAAAATTTCGATAAAAAATTTTGACGAAAAATATTCTATCGAAATTCTTTAGAGAATCTGAATTTCGTCGAAAGTTTCGAATGAAACATTTTTCTCGAAACAATTTCCGTTGAAATTTTCGTCAGAACACATTCTCATCGAAATTTTGAACGAAAAACATTTCGTCAAAATTTTTGATAGAATTTTTTTTTTCGTTTAAAACATTTGATGCAAGAAATCATTTTTGTCAAAACTTTTGACAGAAACTAAATTTCAATAGAAAATTTTTTTTTGTAAAAAATTTCGTTGCTTTTGGACAAAAAGTATTCCGACGAAAAAATAATTTTGTGACGAAATTCTCGTCATTTGCAATGTAGAAATTTCGACAAAATTTTGTGAGGAAACCAAGATAAAAACGGGTCAGGTAAGATTTGACTCACTTCAGGAACCAAGTCAGACCCACTTCAGAAACCAAGTCAGGTCAGATCTGATCCAGTTCTGAACTAGTTCAACAAAATCCAAACCAAGTCAAACCTGACTTGGATCAAATTAAAGCGGGTCGGGTCAAAATACCTGACCTATAAAAACCAAGTTGGGTCAAGTCGGACAAAAACCTGACCTGACCTGACCCACGCACAGCCCTAGAAGTAGTATTAGGGTTTGCAAGGGGTTATCGTTTGCACTTTGCAGCCAGAATCAAAATTCCTCGGTAGTTTCGCTTCCGTAAAGATAGAATTCTGCACTTCCGTGAGAAGGGTTCAAGAAAATCGAATGTCGTCCGTTGCTGGTCATGCTCGATAGTTGGAAGAGGAAGACAATCTTAGAAGTAGCACAAAGAAAAGTAAAAGGGGAGACGGTGAATTTAGCCATGAGCAATCAATGAAGCCACGGGAAGATGAATGGATGACTGAAAATATGTCATTCAAAGAAATGCTAATGCGACACATCGGGGAATGGGAAGATGATCTTGAGCAGATGTTCGGGGCGGGTAAGGAAGAGCAACTGAAATCTCCAACTGAAGAAAACAAAGGGAATGCACCGGAGGTTATAAGTCAGGAAGATGCAGATGGTCGTATGAATTTCTTCATGTCCGATGAGATCAAAAGAAAGGCATGGAGTCCCTGGCAAAAAGCAATTTTCATAAAGCTAATGGGTAAGAAAGTTTCTGTTACTTTTATGAAAAATAGATTAGAAAATCTGTGGGCAAGAGAGGGGAGAATTATTGTGGCTAATTTGGAAAATGATTATTTTTTGGTTCGTTTTGAAAAAAAAAAAGACATGGACTTTGCTTTAACAGCAGGGCCATGGATATTTTTTGATCACTATCTAGCGATCAGGTCTTGGGAACCATATTTTCAACCCTATTAGGCATCTATTAATCGAATAATGGCCTGGATTCGGCTCCTTGAATTTCCTATGGAATTCGTGAATTCTGGGTTGGTTCAAAGTATTGGTAATTGGTTAGGTAAATATATAAGGATGGATGCAGCTACCATTTCTCTTGCTAGAGGGATATTTGCGATAATGTGTGTGGAGTTGGACCTCACTAAACCTCTCCAAGCAGAGTATAAAGTGGAAGGAAGAATTAAGAAGATTGAGTATGCAAGGCTTCACCTCATTTGCTATGGATGTGGTAAATATGGCCATAGATTGGAAACCTGCCTAACAAAAGTTTCACAGGAGACCAATCAAGATAGTCAGAGTCGAGAAGTGGTGTCTAACAGTCAAGATAATTGTGACAAGGGGGAAGAGGAGATAGCAAAGGGTAATTCTAAATTTGGCCCTTAGATGCAGGTGTCGAGGAACAGAAGGAGTAAAGGTCCTTAGAGTAATAGAGTGGACTCACATAAAGGAAATGAGGATCAAATGAAGAAGAGAAATGGTACAAATTTTGATGTTCTAAGGAAGGATATATCACATAATGAAGAGAATGTCAATTCAAAAGCTATGGTTTTATATCAAGATGATTCTTAGAGGTCCCTTCAATCCAAAAATAGGAAGAATGCATCTAATCCTGTGGAGTTGGTGGAAACAAAATCAAAATTCATTTTGGTGGGAGATGAAAAGAATGAGTATGATAACAAGGCAAAATCTGGGAAAAGCACTGTTAAAAATAAAATGAGGGGTTCTGGTTCTGCTATATCAATGGGTAATAAAGCACCATT